CTGGCCCCCTCCTGGCCCCCCTGGTACATTTGGTCTAGAACCGCCACTGCATTAAGGAAAGTTGGGGGATTTCGAATGTCTACTACTGCATAGCTATAGCAGCTTTAATTAAAGCCTTAATGAAATCCAGTCACAAGCAGTTGAAAAGATGAACTGATCAAATAAAATCAGGAAGTTTATTCTGAGAGGGTTTGTTTCAGAAACCAACCATAATAAGCAGTCTCTCCTCCACACCAATAAAAACTTCCCTCTGATCAGTTTAAGGTAAGAAAAGTTCACTGTTCCTCAAAATAGAAATGTGGCTTTTTTTTCCATAATATGTTAGATGTACACATATAAAACACAACATCATCAGTATTTACGAAAATAATCTAAACTAACCACTTTATGTATTATTACTCTGGTTCAGGACTTTAATGAAATATGGCACAAAGAAATTCTTATAACGGTCCGTTCTCTAACGACGAACTCTAAATTGCCTCCCAGATGGCAGAAGGTAAGATTCACTGTTCAGCCTGTGAATTTAATCTATAGGGATTTTCTCTGCCAGTCCTGCAGCCTGTTTTTGCACAAATCAGTGAACATATTCTCCACTGAATGGCCCAGGATTTTGGAGTGGATGTTGAGGAGCCTCCATGTCCAATTCCTTAGCTGTATTAAACATCGTCAAATTAATAATTCCCACCATCTGTCATCCCAAGCCAGATCCAAGAGGGTTCAGGTCCAAGATGGTAACCCTGACATTCCAAGGTTTCATCAAGTCAGAGGGGAAAAAACTAGTCTCTCCAGAGGCTCTCCTTGGATTGTGTTCCAGTGGGATCCAATGGGAAGAGTGGTATCCTGACCAGATGGACCGCGTTAGCTCATCCCTTCTAATGGAGGTGCTGCACTTCATGGTCCTTCAGGATGATGGATGGAGGAAGAAACTTATTACTGATCCAGAGGGGATTCCATAAAAGTTCAAAAAAATCCACTGGACTTGGTTTCCAAGATTTGAAGACGTTTCGCCACCCCTCCAGGAAGCTTTCTCAATTCAAATGTCACTGATCCAGAGGGGAGAATGAGAACTTTAGCGCTTTAGACTTTAAGGCTACAGAATCACCTTCTGAATATGGAGATTTAGATGAACTGAGAGGAACATGATTGTTGGGTCAAGGCATCATCAGTCATGAAATGATAAACTAATAGGTTATACTTTCTTTTTCTTTTTATACTTTAGCTTTCTAATAAAAGAAAATATGTTCTATATGAGACTGAACCAATGCAGTCATAGGGGGAAAAGAAATAACATTCTGAGCAAGATTCTGGCTTTACAGGAGATGAGAAAGATTTATCTGGGAGTTAGAATAACCATAAACCTCTGAGAAGAAAACATCTTCAGAAGGTTGGTTTTATTCATTGAACTTCTCTCTACACCATGGTCTGATGTCTAAATATCATTATTCACAGAGTGATTCCAGGCTATCCTGGTCTGGATCATGGACTCTTCTGGAAAGCTCCTTAAATCACAGCAGAGCTTTGAGTAGATCAGGAAACAATAGGGAAGCAGCAGACAGAGGCTCCATTCATCCATCCATTCACACCCTGGTTGCTCCAGCTCTCCCTGGAAACAGCCTCATTACTGGGAGGGCTCAGAACCTCATTCCAGCCTCGTTTAGTCCAACGAGAGCAGCAGAATTGTTCTTCTGATAAGCTTAGTGGGAATATATCCAAAAGACAGACATCTGATGTAATGTCTGAAACATTTAATAACTTTTCAAAACTACTACTTTTGCTTTAAGTTTTAAACATACCCCCCCACTTAACCCCAGTTCTAGAAACCATGTAGTAGAATTTTCCATCAAAGTGCTGAGACTTCTATTCTGAACATATCTGCTTTGCAAATGAAATGCATTTTATCCCACCTGACCAATCAGGTTGATGGAGGACTCCATCTGGCGCAGCTGATTGTTCTGAGCATCAAGGAGACTCAGGACGCTGTTAGCCAGAGTGCTGATCTGATACGCCACACTTGCCAGCGACTGGGTGGTAAAGTTTTTGGTTTCCTCCAAGGCCTTCTGGGTGTTTTCACCCGACTGTTAGAAACATTAGACAGATATTAGCCCACATTAGGTCAGAGAAATGCAACAAAGCAAATAACTATCCTGGTTTAACACAACCGCCGAAACCATAAAAATATATCTTAGGTTGGTACCAAGACTAAGAATGAAGAAAAAGTTAGCCTAGCTTAGCACAGACTGGAATAAAGAACAAACATGATGGAAATAAACATATTTGGAAGCAAAAGAAAAAAAAAAAATCATTGAGTCAAATAAAAACCCAAGAAATAAATGATTTAGAGGGAAAAAAATAACTTAATTGTTCATAAAAGATAACTATAACCAATCATAACAATTGAAGCAGAGTTACAAATGTATTATTTTCTAAAGAAAAGTTTTTGAAAACCATATCTGTGATGCAGAGAGGTTTATGATCAGCATTACAGAAGGTTTATTATTGTTTAAAAACTCCTTTTTTAATCCTGTTCTGTTCTGCCCCTAAAAGACTTCCTCTAACTTTGAAAAGACTTAAAGAAGTGAAGTTTCTAACAAATACTGTATAAATTATTCTATGTAAACAACAAACATGCAAAAAAAAACACCCACAGTGACTCCTAATAGTAGCTAAAATGATGAGGAACTAACTTATGGCTTTAAAGAAACTATAATAAATACTTAGAGGGTTCAGGTTTTTTTTATATATATATGAACAGAATCACAATTAAAGAACAAGAAATATGTTTTTCTATCTAATTTTCTTGGAAAGTTTTTTACTTTTTTTGGCATTTTTACATCATTTTTCACATATATTATTCTAACAAAGCAGAATAAAGGTTCCTCTTTATGAAACATTTTCTGCTTTTCCATTTTCTAAAAAACTAAAATAGAAATAAAATGTTGCTTTCTTAAAATAATTATAAATAAATACATTTCCTACAGCAGATTTTTTGTGTTTTAATAAAAATTCATGTAATATTTGCGATTTTTATTCCGCTGGTCTCAGGGTAAAACGGCTGTTTAGATTGAAAAGGTTGCAGTCCTGTGATGCAGCTTGTTGGTTCCCTCAGGTAGTGTTAGATATTTTTGTATGAATTTAAACTCCGGCAGTAGTGCTACCAACCTGTGTGTAGGTGTTGTAGCAGTAATCAGCCACATTCAGAAGGTTTTCATAGTTTTCTCGCAGAGCTTTCCTGGCATTTGGAGCTTCTTCTAGAATCTTTGCCACCTCATCCTTAAAGTTTTGTTCCTTCATGCTCCCAGAATAAAGGTTTCCAGAGAAATCGCTGGTTTAATCTGCAGGGAGACAGAAAACCACAGATTATGTAATGATAGAAAGTGGACCAAAGCTGTCAGGTGGATTTCCAGCCTCAGAGTTAATAACCAGTTAGTTCTGCTGGTTCTATTGACTCTATGGTGCCAGTGTTTGGGCATCATCATAGCCACCCATTTGACCACATCCAGGAACTACTTCAACCTGAAGTCTGTCAGAGAGCAACATTTGCAACCAGAATTACTCCATTCAGAGACTCTTGGTTGAGCTGATGTGACCCAGCTCAATGAGGCAAGTTCCTTCAAACAGAAACACAGTAAATAGGATCGCTTTTCTTTCAGGTAGGTTTTTATGCAGGTACCAACAACATTTCAGCAAAAAAGGAACAATTATTCTGTCATCTGCTGTCATTGCCTTTAAGTTCAAATGATGAACAACCTGCAGCTTCACAGAATCCAGCAGAATTTAAATGATGGTTCTGTTTCAGAACTTTTATGTTCCACCCTAACCGTTTCCATGGAGCTGCAATTGATCAGAGACTCACCAGAAGCTGCAGAGTGATGAAGGTCCTCCTGTTTCTGACAAACTTCACTCTGCAGCTCTAAGTTTCCTCTACTGCTGCACGCAAAGATCCTCTCTCTTCAGAGCGCTCACTCCTCACAGCAACCAAATACACCCAAAACTCCCTGGTTTGAGTCTCCAGAAATCTATCAGAGTGAGTGCTCCTCTCAGTGTTTTTAGCTCTTAGTCTGAGCCTGCTGAGTTTAAACCACTTCCTGTTCCTCATCAACTCAAAGAAACAAATTGAGTCACAAACAGCGTTAAGGAGATTTTCTTTCGTTTGTCATAACAGCTCCGGAAATGACTGAAGCTTTCTGTGAGAAACCTGAATCTCTTTACCTATATCCCATAATCCCTGGAAACACCTGAACCCCCCGATAAGATGCTAGAACACAAATGACCCTAATGACCCTAAAGATACCTGATCCCAGTCAGAGGTACCAAAAATCCCCCCAGGAACCTTAAACCCCTCAGAGATATTTAAAATCCCCCTCAAGGAAACCCAAACCTCAACATAGAGTGGTGCTAAAAGGATTTATCCAGCTACTGATTAAGCAGGTTCTCCTACTTTGAAAGATGAAGTCTGTCATTTTCATCATATGAAAAACTATGAGAGAAGATGGGTAAAAAAAAAAAAAAAGAAAATTAGACTGCAGTATTTTTAAAGAATTTATCTGGAGGAAAATATTTTATTAATAACAAAAGTTCAACTCAATAATGTATCTTAGTCTGTGTTGGAAATCACTGAGGTCACACATTAGCTGTCAGTCTTCTTTAGGCTTCCTCTCTCTTTTTTGCCGATTACGACTCACTAAAGCGGTGATGTTTATGGGCTGTCACTATCATGATTTTACTAAAGTTCAGACCCAAATGCAAAAGACCAAACAGGGAGACCAGGGGAAAAGGTTTAACAGGTTTTATTGAAGAGATGATGCAGAGAGAAGTGTTGCTCTGAACACTGCTCAACCGGAACTGAAAAGTGAGGGGAAGGCACAGCGATTAGTTCAGGCTCTGTGGGAAAATAGATTTTTGAACTTGGAGAAGAGGATTTGGTTGCTGACTTACATTTCCAGAGAAGTTGTTGAATCTTTGACTCCAGTCCGTATTCTGCAGTTCCAGTGTTTGTCTGATTCGGTGGAGGGCGGAACAGGGTTTACCCAGAAGGCAGTTGTTTGTAGGTGAACGGAGAAGCTGACTGCCACTCCGATTTCCTGCGGTACTTGAACGGGTCGTTGTGGAGATGAATCCCTTTCTCTGTGTGAAGCTCAAACGATCTCTTGGGGAAAGTGGATCCAAACCTCCTGTTTGAACCCCAGCTCAGTTTAAAGCTCAGTTGATCCTTCCAGGGAGAGAAGGTCCAAAAAAATCCAGTTTGCAGGAAGACTTCCTGCCGAGAGGCAATAGACAAAACAATATTAAAACTCAGGTTGAAAAGAACTCAGTTTGACTCAGCAAAACTCATTTTGGCTAGAGTACCCAAAACTGGCAAACACTCTGGCGTCGAGGTAGTGGCAGTCAGCAGCGTAAGAACACTCCGTTAATGAGGAAACCATCAGCAGGTGTGTGAGGAGGCGGACCAGAACCAGGCGCCTCCTGGTGGAGGAAGGGAGACAAACACAGACACAAACACACAGACAGGAGTCCTGACAGTCACTGGGAAACACAGACTTTCATCTCCCTCAACAAATGTTTCAAAGGGTTGATGTCTGGAGCTTAGTTCAATGCAGGACCTTAATTGCTTTATACAGAGGGATGTGTTTGGCATCATTATCCTGCTGGAAGATGCAGCCACGTTCCATCTCCAAGGCTGGACGGAGGCTTTAGCTCCCCTCATACATGGCCCTGTTTATTCTTTCCTTTCCTGTTCCCTATGGAGAAAAACAGCTCCAAAGCACCATTCATGTGCCCCTGTCACACCTTGACGATTTAGACCAGCGTATGCCTGACATATGAAAAATCTAGCAAAAACGCTGTTAAATGTTGGATAAGTTATGGCTACATTTTGTATAACTTATGAGTAAAATGAAGTATGCTGAAACACACATTGAGATATTTTGAGCCTGCTCAAAATTTCCCGATGTATGCCAACATGTGCCATACGTGAGGCATAAGTTACAGGTAAGTTATCTAATCGTTGACATACGTTAAGTGTAAGTTACTCATAAGTCGTGGCGTCCAGCTTATCCTTAACCTATGAGTAACTTGTGTATAACTTATGCGTAACTTATCAAGAACTTCTCTCTAAAGCATATTAATGTATTTGATGTGTTCCATACGACCGTTGGATGTTTTATTAAGTTACAGCTACTGTATAATGGCGTATTTGCACCGTTCTGGTATAAAGGGGGTTCACAGGAGGAAACCGTCAGTTCTTCTTCAGACTTCATCGCCATCATAGGGTGAGTGAGAAGGTGAGTGTGATGGTTCCTCCCTGCGTTCACGCCCACGACCAACACACTTCCTAGCAGAAATGCTGCTAAATCTGCTGTGATTGCAAACCTTCTTTCTTTTTTTCTTTTTTTTGCAGGCAGTAAACAGCAGCCTGATTAATAGCAGACCAGATGCCCCCATCATTACACTGGCTTGTGCATCATTTCATGGGCATTATGTTACCCTGCGTTATGCATAAGTAAGGCTGTCATTGGACATAACTTCTGGACTTGTTATGAATACATTATGTATGCGCCCAAGATTTAAAAAATACATAGAAAGTTCTGCATATGCCAGCGTTTTAGAAGATTCTGGGATGTCAGGCATACGCTGATTAAATCGTCAAAGGTGACAGGGCTCTGACGTGGAGCCTTGGATCGAAGGAGAATATCAGTGGTCTGGTACGTCTTCCATTTTCTTCCATTTGTTCCCACAGTTGATTTATCACACCAACCTGTTCATGTATAGATTTGCTCCTCCCATCCTGGTGCAGGTCTGCAACTTTCTTCCTGGTGTCCTGGTTTTAGCAGCTCTTTGGTCTTGGCTGTGACTGAGTTTGGAATCTGACTGTCTGAGGGAATGGGCAGGTGTATTTATATAGATAATGATTTCAAACAGGTGCAACTATACAAAGGTAATGACTGAAGCTTCTTACATTAGAAATTATAGGCCTGTGAGGGTCAGACATCTTGTTCATTGGTGACTAAATACTTATTTCCACCATAATTTACAAATAAATTCTTTAAAAATCTTAAAATGGGATACCTGAATTGTGTTTCTCTCATTCTTGAAGTGAATTATTTATTAATGATATCAGTGACCATCTACAAGTGTTTATGATTTATACAGTGTTGGGCACGTTACTTTGAAAAAGTCATTAGTTATAGTTACTAGTTACTTCTCCAAAAAAGTAACTGAGTTACTAACTGAGTTACTAGTAACTAGTTACTGGTAAAAGTAACTA